TACTTGCATCTGTAGTATTTCTAAGAATAGACTTTTCAAATAGAATTAGTTGGACTTTTTACATGGATCTTGTTCGCCTTTTCATATTTACATTAACTTCACGATAGGTTATGTTGCTCACAGTTCTTGAAACAGATTTGATGCTAGCAAATGAAAACAGAAACAGGGAAAAAGAAGACGGATAGGAAAGTAGAATCAGTTTACTTTGAAATAAAATGAATTGGATTGTGCTCAGAACTAGGTTGAGGGTATATTCTTAGAAATACTTCATGAGAATTATGCAAACAACCCCCAATACTAAAAAGGTTTCAAATAGCCCACATGGATAACAAAGTATGGAATTTAAACAACTAATGCAACCATTGATTTAATTTGCATGCAAGAACTTGAAGTTCTAGGATATTAACTCTTGAAATTCATTAATGATGGAGATGGTATAAATATAACTAGTTGTGAATATTAGGGTATTTCTGGTGTATATACTGCAAACTTAAATTATTTAATTGTATTTATTTCAAATAATATATTTGGCAAAAAATTGAACCTATAATAAGGTGGAAATTCAAAATTTATCTTCTCACACTACATAATTTCATGATATATATATATATATATATATATATATGCTCTTTACAATACTTTCTCAAAATTAAATTAATACAATACTTTCTCAAAATTAAATTAATAATTAGTAAATATTGTTGGAATGATCGGCCCCTATGTAGGCTGGCATCTGACAATTGTGTCTCTTTGAGCATGCGCACTGCTTCATGTTTGCCTAATTTTTTAAAAATATTGTTGCATATTATTGATGATTTAGTATATTACAATGTTTAAAATTGTTCAATTGGGATCAAGTTCTTTTTCGTTCATGAGACAAAGTGTAAGCCTCACACTTAAAATATTGCTCAACTTAACATGGATTTTCTAAACTCAAAAGTGTAAAGTTAGATGTAACATACTAAAACCTTGTCATTTTAAAAATATTAAAAAAGTAGCATATTTATATGCTAACAAAGAAATAACAAATTGCACAAAGAAGTGACATGCGTCGTAACATCAAATCACGAAGCAAAATTATGCTTGCCTCGCATATAGTGACGTGAGGCGCGCCTCTGTGTGAGGCGCATGCCTTAGGCACAATGAGACGCAAGTTTTATAGTATTTTTTGGGGATAAAACATTGATGCGCCCATGGAGTCACGCCTCATTCACGTAATTTTACTTAGGTATATTATGGGATTTTCTTGTTATATGTTTTTTAAGTATTAATTTTGAAGTACATTCTGATTGTGAAATTTCTATTTATTTGAATTCGCCCTACTGGTATTTGTTTCTTTTGTTTATCAAGAATTGTGGTTTCTAGCCTCTCCATGTCCACCATGTTCATAGATTACAGATTTCAGTATAATTTAACGTTTCAGAGTTTTGTATGGATTTTGCTAGTACTGAATGCTGTTGCTTTACTCGCTGGATTGTTAGTCTTTCCAATTTAAAGTTTTTATTCAACCAATTGTCACTTCTTAACACTCAAAACTACCCCTTTAATAGAAGGATATTGACTGAATTTGATGAACTTAGCATTCTTCAAATCTACAACAGCCTTGAAAGAATATGATTACACAAGCAGCAATCCCTGTTAAAGCTCTACTTTTTCTTGCAATATTGAAATATAGTAACTGATGAAAATTATAAGGAAGATTTACATACATACCACTCAATTCTTATGTATTTAAGTATCTTGCATCTGAACTTTCAATTTTTGCACATCTAGCGCTCACTGTTGATGTTTTATTTTATTTTATTTTTTGATGTGATCAGGCAACTTTTGATTGTCTTATGAAGACGTATGGATTCTTGACTCCAGACTTGTGGATTGAGACTCGCTTTGCAAAATCACCTTTCCAGGAATATACGGACCTGCTCTCGAAGCCAACGAAGGCCATCCTTGATGATGTTGAGAGGATTGACGCATAGGTTTCCGATTAAGTGTCAACAGCTCCGAGACTTCTAGGTGTTTGATAAAAGCTTTTACCACCTTCTAAAAAACCCTTTGCGCATTTTTTTTTGCTCATGTTCTTATTTAAACTTTTCTTGTTGCTTGCTCCAAACTGTTCCCTGTCATAACTTTTTGATTGTGCTATTTCTTAGAAAATGTTAGCCTTTTTTTTCTTTAAATGATTATTATATGGGGCAATTAAATACATCACACTCCAAACATTGCTATTTACAAACCTAACGTCTCCATTTTGGAGAATATTTGCGTACGTAAGATGTGCGCAGCCCTGCTTACGTCGGAGGTTATTCAGAGGGTACAGGCCGGGTTATATACGCATTATAATCAAAATTCACGTAATTTTTCGTCAATTTTATCAATTTCTCAATGGTTTGTTTGTAGCATGTGTACATGTATTGATTCGGTAGTTCAAAAAATCATTTTGGGCGTTTATTTTGTAAATAATTATGTTTTTTGTGTTATGTGTATAATTATCCCTTCTTGTATGGACTTCTGTTAGAGTCCATTCCGTTGATTTTCTACAAGGGATTCTAGGCTAACATCAGGTGAAGTTTGGTCGGACTGACAAGCCATAGAAGTTTCTGAAAATCTGCCATTTGATTTTGGGGTGTAAATAAGCGAAGCTGTAGTGAACCTAAAAATATTACTGTTCATGTTCGGCTTATTTATATTTTGTAAGAGCAAAAAAAATTGTTCGTGTTCTGCTCATTTGCTTAGCTGTGCGAATAATGTGCTGTTTTGATAATCTTAGTCACACAGCCGTAGGATGTCAAGGGTAGAGATGAGATTTAAATCTTATTATTTATATTAAAATATTTATATAATTAGAACCTAAATATATTTTAACTCCATTTTTTTAATTGATAATCCTAATATATATTTAACTCCATTTTTTAATTAATAATTTTAATTGATTATAATTTTTTGTAGCATTCTAGTCAATTAAATTATTTATAAAATAATATTCATCTATTTTACTTACATTTTAATTTAGTTATTTCGAGCCCGAAATGAGCTGAACACGAATAAACAAATATTTGTTTGTGTACAGTTAGTTTATATATCGATTGTGATTTTTTTTTTTTTAACTCGTTCGCTTAGCGAATAAATCTAGCACGAGCTATTTAATGAGTCAAACACGAGTTGTTCGTGACCGCTGTAATCTGGTTTGATAAATTAATTTGCTAATTAGCTTATTGAACAAGATTGATGAAATGCTTATTACAAGTAGCTATAAATAATATGAAGAATTGGCTTATAAGCTGACATGAAGACACAAACATATTAAAATTCATTACACCACCTCAAATAGGACTTTCAATTATGATGAAAACTCAAAATGAGCTCAATTATTGTTTATATATTAACCAGGTTATAAATGGTGAACTTCATCAAATTTTTAAATATATTTTATGAGATCAAGAATAAAAGGAGCCTCGTTTTAAACATAATATGTGATTAGACTCGGCCAATGACTAACAGATCTTCGATGTTTATCTGAGCCTTGCATTATTCAAAAGTCGCCTCAATTTTAAATATTTCTTTTACTTTTTTAGAAACTCCTTTATATGCATAATCTTTGAACTTCTAAAAACTCTTATATTATCATTGACAGTATTCAAACATTTCTTGGAGAAGCCTAAAATTTACTTCATAATTTATACTCTATAAGAAATTTCTCCTTTTAATTTTCAAAGCAACTTGTCGCGGGCAAAAAGCCTCACATCTGCTAGGTGTAGGACCGAAGAACAGTATTTAAGTCTTGGGTTGCCCACCACCCGAAAAGCTATTTTGCGAGATGACAAGTGGTATCAGAGCCGATTACTGCTTGTCAGGTGTGTGGACTCTCCATGGTCCAGTGGGACCCTCGGTGGAGCCGATCTGTGACGGGGGCGTCGCGTGATTAGGTGGAGGAGAATGTCACAGACAAAATATCCCACATCAACTAGGAGTATGGCCGAACATCAGTATTTAAGTATTGAGCTGCCCATCACCCTGAAGAACTCTTTTGGGATGTGATAAACTGCTAGAGTATGTTAAGAAATTTCATCTATCCTGAAAAAAAAAATAATAATAATTATAACTTTTGAATTTAGATTTGACTTATAAATCATACCCAAGAAAGAAATAGTGCATATTAATTATGGGAGAGAAATAAAAAAAAATGACAATATTTATTAATCAACAACTGCACAAACAGACCCTAAAATGTAAACTTACAAGTCTATCTTTTAAAAAAATACGTAAGTCCACGATACAATATTTTTTGCAGTTCGAGGAGATATTTGGGTAAGTAAGACGTACGTAGAGTTGCGTACATATTAATTTATTCGGAAGTATGGCTGTCAAAACGGTTCGTTGTTCGCGAACAGCTCGTGTTCGACTCTTTAAGAGTTCGTGTTCGACTCGTTCGCTAAGTTAACGAGCCGAATAGGAACAACACGAACAAATATTTGTTCGTTCGTGTTCGACTCGTTTTAGCTCGAATATTACTAATCAATTATATATATTTTTGATAAGTAGTATTTATGAAATAATTAATTGACTACAAGGCTGTAAATATTTATAATCAATTAAAAGTATTAATGAAGAAAATAGAATAAAACTTATTAAATTAGATTCAAATGTTGTTTAAAATCTTGTTTCAATCCTTAACATCTTATGGCTATGTGGTTAGGCTCAGCTCGTGTTCGGCTCGTTTATATTTCGAGCTAAAAAAATATATTTGTGTTAAATTTATTTGCTTAGCGAGCCAAACACGGGTCGTTCAAGAACAAAAAAATCGTTTTAGCTCGTGTTGGGCTCCTTTACACTCCTATTCGGAAGGTATAGATTATGAGGGATTATCGCGTGCGGACACCGCATGTCCGATCCTGACCGTAGATCACGGACAAGATTATTTCTATTTTTTTTAAATTTTTTACGGTTCGGGTAGGGAATAAATTTTCATAGATTATAGGGATTATACGATTGGGATTCTTACCCTATCAAATATTTCTCCACTTTTCGAGAGGGCGCGAAAGCATGTCTCTCTCTTCGAAGCCGAGCTGCTCCCGCCTCCTTCGTTCTCATCATCGCCCAGCCATTGCTCCCCGTTCTCCCGGAGTTTTTCTTGTCTGACACTTCCGCCATTGCCGAGCTCTAGATGTACGCAGCGGAGGAGGGCCGCGCACTGGACCGCAACGTGTACGCCGACACTGCGGCAGATATCTGGCCATTTTATTTCCCGGAGGCGGATTTTGCTATAGATGACAGGAGGTACAAGCTTTTGGCCGAGCTGGCGGACTTCTTCTCATCCCTGAAAGCGGATTCCATCCTCTCTAACGTAAGTCCTCATTCCCCCTCCTCGCATTTTATCTCCGTCTCTATTAGCGCAGGGGCTAGGGTTTTAAGTTTAGTGACCAAATTAGGGTTTCTGATTGTTATTATTTGCATTTCATTTTCCCATGGATACGTGTTGAATCTTTTGATGTCAAACCCGAGCCTGGAAGACAAATATAATGAAATGAATTGCATATATTTTGTATTATCAAAATAAAAGATTATATGTAAATGTCAACAAAAAAAAAGTTTTGATTTATTTTATAAATAAAAGTCCAACCGGAACAACTAAAAAAAAATTGACTGAAACAAAACTAAAAATGTTAATAGGGGAAACACCAACCAAATACTTAAAAGAGGAAATAGAATAACTAAAGCTAATATTGAAATATCAAAAATGAATTTAGAATTGAAATGTTTGCATCTGTGAGGATAATCCTGTAAGAGGTTTAAGAGAACTGTTAGACAAAAATATTAACTGGTAAGCATAACAAATCAAATCTAATATATAACCACTATTTATTATAGTATAAATGACAATGAATTGAGAGATGTAGTATGAACAATAAAAAGTTACTATATGCACAATTATAATTTTATCGGACAAAAATATGCTGGATAAATCGAAATCAATATAATATGAGTATATTCAAACTGTTTAATGAAATATGCAATCACTAATTATTACTGGTGTATGGCTTAGAAATCATTCATTTTTTAATTTTAGTTTAAATTATATTTATATAATCAATATTATTAGATACTGTGAAACTGGGAAGGTAAACATCAACCCTAGAAAGTCTGGCAATTTCTTATAGAGTCATCATTCAGTGGGTCCGTCAGCCTAACTAATCAATATCTAAAAAGGTTCAACCGACCTACATAGCTGACACAAAAACATATGAAATTTGTTTCATAGGAAATATATAAGCAAAATGCTACTTCACATAGATTTGTGATATGATAGAAATTTACATGTAATTCATAAAAGTAAATTACAAGAAAAGAAAAACATTTTAATTGCACGGTTTATTCATATACACAGAGAGTTGTACAATAATGGAGTAAGTAATTACTTAGTTATGAACAATAATTGAAGCTATAATAATTGAAAAAATAAATAAATGAAATATCAAAGATTGGACTGACAATCCTATAAAATAACTTTGAATATAATACAAACAGTAAGAATAAAACCCATAACTAGGAAATATACATTTATCCCATACTAAAAAATAATTAGTTACTTTGAGGTGGCAAAAATGAAACTTCTGATTTTTTGTAAGTTTCACTCGATGACGTAACAAGTAGGTGATGCTCAAAAGCTCTATACCCAAAATACATTTAGCTATAAAATTATATTAATTATTATTATTATTACTACTATTAGACGTGTTAGTGTGTTTAATTTTGCATTACAATAGAAAACAAAAGGAAAGAAATGGGAAGGAGGGCTTACTGAGGCGGTGCGGTTGAGCAATTCGGGAAGGCGAAAACCGAAGAGGAAACTCATAGGAAGGAAGAAAAGAAAGGGGATCTTGTGGGGGATTGCGCGAGTCTCTGAATCAGGAAGGCCGTATGACAACGAGAGTAAGAGATCCCGCGCATTGTGTGACCCAGAAGACAAAGCAACAATTGCCGGAAGGAAGGAGAAGAGAAGGTGGCTCCGCTCGACTTACTAGTGGGAAAAAAAAAAAAACAAAATTTTGGTTCTTACATTGATTATGACTCAGTAAACATTTATATTGTATCATTAGGAAAATCACTTTCTTATCCTAACATTTTATTGTCACATCTAGGATCCGAAAGTTGTTACACTCGACAACACGGAACTTGATTAAATGATTAATTTTAACTCCTTAGACAAACTCAAAAGTGAATCGTTTAAATCTGTTTCTGATTCACGCGCCAAGAATAAACAAATAATAATAATAATTTATTCTATTATTGGATTCTTAATAATAATTCAATAGGTGGCAAAAAATAATAATTATCAGAAAAGAAACTAGAAGAACAACTTGTTTAATCTGAAGAATATTACAAAGCGATCCTAAAAGGCCTCAATTTTGCAACTCAATTTTATATGGTGTGGTATGTTTTCATCACTAAATGCTGATTGTTTAATCTGAAAAATAAATAATAATAAGAACTACTTTCTTTTCTGAAGGTAATGGTTGATTTTTCTCAATTTACACTTGGAAGATTTACGTACATACCACTCAATTCTTATGTATTTACATATCTACATCTAAATCATACATATTATCTTACTTACGCATGAAATAGTGTATTGGACCTTATAAAAGCTAAAATGGTATTTTTGATGTGATATGAAAGAATTGGCTGTTATGACTGTAAAAAAAAACAAAATTTAGGTGTTAAACATGTAAATGCATAAGAATTTGTGTTATATATGTAAATGCCCCTTTGCACTTTTAATGGAACTGTGAATTTGTTATCATGCACTACTAGCTGCATCATGATTTAGTTTAATATAAATTCATATACAGGTTCAGTATGATAGTTGTGTCTTTCTGCCGGTTGACTTCCAGCAGCTTCAAAAAGTATGTTTAGTAGAGGGGTTTTATGCAAACTTAAGGGAAGTGCCCAAAGAGTCACTCTTATGCATGGGAGCCGCAGCTCATATGGTACTTTATGTATATGTTTCTTGGGAGATTTATATACCTAGCACACAATTCTTATGCATTTACATATCTCACACTTAAACATTCATATTTATACGCATAACACTTCGGTGCTTTAAGCTTATGCATGAAAAGGTGTATTTCACTATTAAAAAATGATAATAGCACTATTTTTTATGTGATATTAAAGATTTTAGTGCAATGTGTGTAAATATGAAAGTTTAGGTGTGAGATATGTAAATACATAACATTTATGTGCTATGTAGGTAAATGCCCCATTTCTTTTACCATCCTTTGGGTTTGAAAATTCCTAACACGAATCTCTGTTTGAAATTTGTATGCAGGCTCTGTTGTTGAAGGGAAATGATCATCACATTGCAGAGGCTGAGAAGATTAATATTAGGCTTTATAATCATCCTGATTCATTGATCACACTAAAAAGTTTGAAAGCTGCTTACATTGGTTGGTCGTATGCTTTCTTTTTGGGTTTCATTTGTTACCTACTTATGTTTTTTTATAATGCACGAACACTTCTAATTAAAGCGCAGTGCAGTGTTGAACGTGGAAACGCCTCCTATATGGCTCCGACACTTAGCGGGCACAATATAGAAGTGTTTAAATTAAATAATATTTAAGAAAAAAAGGGACACACGTGCTTAAATTAATAAATTAAAAAAATTTAAAAATATTTTTAAACCTATATTTTTAAGATTAAAATTTAAAGAAATATTTTATTTTTTATTTAAAATTAAACTTAAGATGGCAAGTGTTTATTTTTTTTATATCATAAATTAAATTATATTTTTGAATTCCTTAGCTTTCGACAATTAATGTTATTCAATATCTCTTCTTTATTGTTTTTAAAATCCTTTTTATTTACTTTTTATCAATTTTTGTTAATTTATATTAGGAGGATTTAAATATATACCCATCAATTCTTATGTATTTACATATCTAACATCTAAACTTCAATTTTTACATATGTTCATCTTACCAATGCATGGGAAGGTTGGAATCCCATATTATAGTTAGGTTGTCCAAATCCTGCAAGAATTCTTAGGCATCCACATCGCCCACTAAGTTTGTAAGAATCTAGTTTCAATATTCTGATTCCACTAAACTTCTATGTTTTAACCTAATAGTGCTTCTAATCTTTTTCCGATAGTCCGATGTTACGAATAGTTTTAACCATTCAAATGACTAATTTGAATGTAAATGACATTTAAAAAGTTAAAAAATAACTTCAAAAATAAAAAGCTCTGGAAATCAAAGCATTTTCAATATAATATGAAAAATTTGTGTG